CGAGGGGGGACAGGTGCAGAGACGCCGCCGACGAGGGGGGACAGGTGAGACAGTGAGACGCCGCCACGACAGGGGACAGGTGAGACGCCGCCGACGAGGGGGACAGGTGAGGGGACAGGTGAGACGCCGCCGACGAGGGGGGACAGGTGAGAACAGGTGATAGCCGCCGACGAGGGGGACAGGTGTGAGACGACGAGGGGGACAGGTGAGACGCCGCCGGGAGGGGGACAGGTGAGACGCCGCCGATAGAGGGGACAGGTGAGACCGCCGCCGATGACGGGGGGCAGGTGAGACGCCGCCGACGAGGGGGACGGGTGAGAACGCCGCCGGACGAGGGGACGGTGACGCCGACGAGGGGGACGGGGTGAGACGCCGCCGACGAGGGGGGACGGGTGAGACGCCCGACGAGGGTGAGACGCCGCGAGAGGACAGGTGAGACGCCGCGACGAGGGGGACAGGGAGACGGTGAGGGAAGGTGAGACGCCGCCGCGGGGGGGACGGTGAGACGGTGACGCCCCGACGAGGGGGGACAGGTGAGACGCCGCGACGGGGGGACAGGTGAGACCGCCGACGAGGGGGGACAGGTGAGACGATGAGGTGAGACGACGAAGTGAACGGACAGGTGAAAGGGAGAGAAGAGAGAAGGACAGAACGGAGGGGGGACAGGGGGGAGGGGACAAGGGGGGGGACAGTTGGACCATCAGCACCAGATTGTTTCTCATCACCTGTTTCAGGGGATTGACAGATTTGGTTAACATATCGTCCAACAACAACCTCCAAGATAAACAAGTCAGATAACACTAAGCCCCGCCCCCGCTCAGCCCCGCCCCCTCGCACACCTCAGCCCCGCCCCCTCACACACACACACACTCACCACGTCCCCGATGAGCGCCGCCAGGTTGGGAGCCACCTGCCCCATTTTGGACCTGAGGTACTCCTGCAGCTCGAGTCGGTACGAGGCCAGAGACACGACTCGACTGGAGAAACGCTCGATGTTTATCAGGTCGATGGGAGAGATGTCCATGCCTGACAGAAAGACAGAGAGAGAGAAGAAAGAGGGAGGGAGGAGAGAAAAGAAGAGGGCAGGAGAAAGGAGGAGAGAGAATATAACAAAAGGGAGAAGGAGAGGAGAGGGAGGAGGGAGAGGAGGAGAGGGGAAAAGGAGAAGAAGAAAAAAGGAGGAGAAAAGAGGAGGAGAAAAAAGAGAGGAGAAAAAAGAGAAGAGGAGAAAAGAGGAAGAGAAGAGGAGGAGAAGAGGAGAGAGAATATGAGAAAAGAGGGAGGAGGAGAGGACAGGGAGAAGACAAAGGAGAGAAAAAGTGAAGAGATGGGAGAGAAAGACGGAGAAAGAAAGAAGAGTGAGAAAAGAAAGGAGAGAAAGAAAAAGATGGACGAGAAAGTGAAGAGAGAACAGAAGAGGGAGAAAAAAGAAAAGATGAGAAAGGAGAGAAAGAAAGAAAGAGAGAGTGAAGAGAAAGGAGAAAAGAGACAAAAAAAAAAAAAGCTTGATTATTTTTCTGCAGTTTCTCCAGTTTAAACCCTCTTTTTCTTTGTGGGTTGTGTTTGTTTCTCCCGACAGGATCCGAGCGGAGGAGTGGAACCTTCCCCTCGGGTTTATGAGAGCTGCTGCTGTGCCCCCCTGTGTTCGACACCCGGGACACCACAGTCCGGATGGCAAGAAAGGGGCGTTTTCACCACAACAAACCAACGAGTCCAAAGAGGAAGTGAGTTCAAGCGCAAACGGACGCAGCGCCTCACACCGAGTCTCTCACCAACTCGTGGATTAACTCTCTCCCCCCCTGGACGTCGACCAGGAACAACCCACACATATATGACGATTCTACCCTCAGGCATAAAAATAAAAAACAGACTCCAGTGTAGAAATGATTTTACACTCAGGCACTTCATTTAACAACATATTGATCTCTGGAAACCTCAGACTCACTTTATTTACAGATGTTTTGTGATTCACCTGAGAGTAACTCTCATTTTTCCTGCTTGTTATAACCAAACATCTGTAAATGAAGAGTTGAGTCTGAGGTTTCCAGAGATACAAATATGTCTGTTACAATGAAGTGCCTGAGTGTAAAAATCATTTCTAATCACTGGAAGTCTGTTTTTTTTAAATGTTTTTATGCTCTGAGGGTAGAACTCGTCATATATGTGTGGGTTGTTCCTGGTCGACGTCCAGGGGGGAGAGAGTTAATCCACGAGTTGGTGAGAGACTCGGTGTGAGGCGCTGCGTCCCGTTTGCGCTTGAACCTCAGCTTCCTCTTTGGACTCGTTGGTTTGTTGTGGTGAAACGCCCCTTTCTTGCCCATCCGGACTGTGGTGTCCCGGGTGTCGAACACAGGGGGGCACAGCAGCAGCTCTCATAAACCCGAGGGGAAGGTTCCACTCCTCCGCTCGGATCCTGTCGGGAGAAACAAACACAACCCACAAAGAAAAAGAAAGAAAAAGAGGGTTTAAACTGGAGAAACTGCAGAAAAATAATCAAGCTTTTTTTTTTTTTTCTCTTTTCTCCTTTCTCTTTCACTCTCTCCTCTTTCCTTTCTTTCTCTCCTTTCTCATCTTTTCTTTTTTCTCCCTCTTTCTGTTCTCTCTTCACTTTCTCGTCCATCTTTTCTTTCTCTCCTTTCTTTTCTCACTCTTCTTTCTTTCTCCGTCTTTCTCTCCCATCTCTTCACTTTTTCTCTCCTTTGTCTTCTCCCTGTCCTCTCCTCCTCCCTCTTTTCTCATATTCTGTCTCTTCTCCTCCTCTTCTCTTCCTCTTCTCTTTTTTTTCTCCTTTCTTCTTTTCTTCTCCTGTTTTCTTCTTTTCTTCTTCTCCTCCTCTCCCTCCTCCCTCTCCTCTCCTTCTCCCTTTTGTTATATTCTCTCTCCTCCTTTCTCCTGCCCTCTTCTTTTCTCTCCCTCCCTCCTCTCCTCTCTCTCTCTCTCTGTCTTTCTGTCAGGCATGGACATCTCTCCCATCGACCTGATAAACATCGAGCGTTTCTCCAGTCGAGTCGTGTCTCTGGCCTCGTACCGACTCGAGCTGCAGGAGTACCTCAGGTCCAAAATGGGGCAGGTGGCTCCCAACCTGGCGGCGCTCATCGGGGACGTGGTGAGTGTGTGTGTGTGAGGTGGCGGGGCTGAGTGTGCGAGGGGGCGGGGCTGAGTGGTGCGAGGGGGCGGGGCTTAGTGTTATCTGACTTGTTTATCTTGGAGGTTGTTGTTGGACGATGATGTTAAACCAAATCTGTCAATCCCCTGAAACCAGGTGATGAGAAACAATCTGGTGCTGATGGTCCAACTGTCCTCCCCCTGTCTCCCCTGTCTCCCCCCTGTCCTCCCCCTCCATTCTGTCCTTCTCGTTCTTCTCTCCCTTTCACCTGTCCGTCTCCACTTCGTCCTCACCTCATCGTCTCACCTGTCCCCCTCGTCGGCGGCGTCTCACCTGTCCCCCCTCGTCGGCGGCGTCTCACCTGTCCCCCCTCGTCGGGGGCGTCTCACCTGTCTCACCTGTCCCCCTCGTCGGCGGCGTCTCACCTGTCCCTCACCTGTCCCCTCACCTGTCCCCCCTCGTCGGCGGCGTCTCACCTGTCCCCCCCTCGTCGGCGGCGTCTCACCCGTCCCCCTCTCGTCGGCGCGTCTCACCGTCCCCCCTCGTCGGCGGCGTCTCACCTGTCCCCCCTCGTCGGCGGCGTCTCACCCGTCCCCCTCGTCGGCGGCGTCTCACCCGTCCCCCCTCGTCGGCGGCGTCTCACCCGTCCCCCCTCGTCGGCGGCGTCTCACCCGTCCCCCTCGTCGGCGGCGTCTCACCCGTCCCCCCTCGTCGGCGGCGTCTCACCTGTCCCCCCTCACCTGTCCCCCTCGTCGCGGCGTCTCACCTGTCCCCTCACCTGTCCCCCCTCGTCGGCGGCGTCTCACCTGTCCCCGTCTCACCTGTCCCCCCTCGTCGGCGGCGTCTCACCTGTCTCCCCCTCACCTGTCCCCCCTCGTCGGCGGCGTCTCACCTGTCCCGTCCCCTCGTCGGCGGCGTCTCACCTGTCTCACCTGTCCCCCCTCGTCGGCGGCGTCTCACCTGTCTCACCTGTCCCCCCTCGTCGGCGGCGTCTCACCTGTCCCTCTGTGTCCCCCGCAGGTCGGAGCTCGTCTCATCTCTCACGCCGGGAGTCTCACAAATTTGGCCAAATACCCGGCGTCCACGGTGCAGATCCTGGGCGCGGAGAAAGCCCTGTTCAGGTACATGGCCCCTCCCCCTGGCCGTGAGGCGCGGGGAGGAGGGGGGCGTGGCTTCGGTGATGGCAGGGGGCGGGGCTGACGCGATGGGGGCAGAGCTACGTGCTCTTTGTATAAAAGTCCCCGTGTGCGTGTGTTTGCCCCGGAGTCTGAGAGGCCACGGTTTACGAGGGCGACGGAGGTAAACGAGGGGGCGGGGCGGGTCTAAACGAGGGGGCGGGGTCTGTTCCACCTTGTGATGTCATAAGTGCTCCACACACACCTTCACTAGAATCATCTGGATCTTTTCAGTCGTGGAGTCGCCGATCTCGACCACCACTCCATGACATCACAAGGTGGAACAGAACGTTGGGAGCTGTAGACAGACGGTTTAGGACCCAGGTTAGTCTTGGTTTTTAGACCTGGGCTTAGTCTTGTTGTTAGACCTGTTTTTAGACCCAGTTTGGTCCTGGTGCAGTCGTGGTTCAGTTCTGGTTTAGTCTTGATTTTGGACTCGAGTTAGTCTTGGTTTTTACTCTGGGCGTAGTTTTGGTTTTTGGGACCCGGGTTTGGTTTTTAGACCTGGCCTTAGTCTTGGTTTTTAGACCCAGTTTGGTCCTGGTGCAGTCGTGGTTCAGTTCTGGTTTTGTCTTGGTTTAGACCTGGTTTCATAACTGTTTTTTTAGTCTGAGTTCTTGTTTCAACCAGAAAACAAACGGAGTTGTTTTTAAATATTTTCAGTGTTTCTGTGGTGTTTTTGTCTCGTGGAGTTAAACCTGTGAGCGTTTCTCTGCAGGGCCCTGAAGACCAGAGGAAACACGCCCAAATATGGTCTGATCTTCCACTCCACGTTCATCGGACGCGCCGCCGCCAAAAACAAAGGTCGAATCTCCCGTTACCTCGCCAACAAGTGCACCATCGCCTCCAGGATCGACTGCTTCTCCGGTACGAGACGCGGCCTGGCCCAAAGCTGCACTGCGGAACTTTTCGGCTGGGGCTCCGTCACCTGCTTGTTTCTACGGAGACGTCACTGTTCTGCCTGGAATGTTCCACAGTGTGACTTTAAACCGCCCGACTTTACGTTCATTCAATTACAGGTGGTTTTAGAACCCAGAACAACCGGGACGGAACCGGGTCCCCAGAACAACCGGGACTGAACCGGGTCCCCAGAACAACCGGGACTGAACCGGGTCCCCAGAACAACCGGGACGGAACCGGGTCCCCAGAACTTAAAAATCCCTAGTAAACCAGGCATGGTGTGAGCGCGGTCGCCTCTCCACAGATCTGACCTGGAACTGGGTCCGGTCTGGTTTGGTTTCCATGGAGATAGAAAGTTGTAGTTTAATGCCACACTGCGGAACATTCCAGACAAAGCGGCAACAACGGGGAACAATCTCCACGGAGACGAGCGTTTGACGGAACCTCTCCCCCAGAAAAGTTACACAGTGCAGCTTTAAACCTGCATGAACGGGGACCAGTGTTACACCGGGGCTGCACCTGCCGACGGGGGAAGAGAAACGACCTGAGGCTGTGGAAAAGTCTGGATTAGTCTGTAGGAACTCGCTTTGGATTCATTTATTTATTTACCGGCCAGAAAATGCAGAATGAAGAAAAAATAAGTGGCACTTTTTTTGTGGGAAATGTGTTTTATAAATTCAGGGAGCAGGAGCCGACATTTTCTGTTTTCAGCGAAGTTCTAGTAAAAACAGAAGAGAGAAGAACAGATACGAATAGTTCTTCAGATCACCACAGCATCAACAACAGAATAAGTTTACCAAACTCTCCAGATCACTAAATCCCTCAGACTCAGCATCAGTTCCAGGTGGAATTATTGGGGTCTTTCTGAATCCCGTCAGGATGGTTTCGGTGTCACTGAAGTCCAGGCTTTGTCCGTCCAATGTAATCACAGCTTCCAGAATGAAGATCTCACCGACTCAAATTGTTTTTACAGTTCAGAGACGAATGAATTGGCGGCACTTTTTTTTTTACGAGAGCAGCGTTCGATAATCACGTTAAGTATAATTAGTGCGTTTTATTCACTTTTCTTACCTCGTTGATGTAAAATCTTTGGGGAAAAATGGGACGCGATCTAACTAGAAACTGAAACGGTCTGTCTGCAAAAACGACAATCTTAAATGAAATAACTGAAGAAGTGTTAAATTATTCTGCCCTACAAAAACAAAAGACGGAGGAAAGCGACTTCAAAGTTTGTGTTTTGTCCAGACAAAAGTAGAATAGGCAGGACTCCGAGAATGTGACGACACAAATATTGAGCCTTTTTGACTTTTATTGGTGACTTCAGGAAAGTTTCACGGTGCGTCACAAGTTTCTCTCTCACTCCAAACTTTTTTTCTGCTGCTCGATTTCAGTTTTCAGCTGCAGATTTCACGACTTAGTTTTGTAATCTGCAGAATCTGATTTTGTTTTCGGAGGCGTTTGTGTTCAATCTTCTCAGTCTTTGTCTTTATAAGTTTAAACTAGGGCCGGGCACTTTAACGCGTTAATTTTGCGTTAACTAATTAAGTCATTAATGTCGACAATTATTTTGATGCCGTTAACGCAGTTTTTATAATTTTATTGTAAACATCTGTTTCTTTATTTTGAAAAAGTCCACCGCAAGCATTTCTTTAAAGTTTTTCATCTTTACACTTTTTTCTGACCACGTGAGATGCAACATGTCCGAGCCTCCGCGGGTTCGGCCGTGCGCTCTGAGCTGAGATTGTTTAGTTCAGCGCTGCAGGGGGAGTCACTGATTTACCCGGATACAACTGGAAGAAAAACTGATTGGTCCATTTCCATTATATTAACCCTTTGTTTCCCAAGAAATATCAGTCCAAGTTTAAAAACAATGATCTAGAAATTATTACTAGTGTCGTGTTTATTACTCACTGCGTAAAAAATATTTAAAAAATATATTCGTAGTACAAAAGTCCATTCAATATTTTTCTTGAGCCTTCAGTGAAAACCTTGAAGGATCTGAGGTTCCCCGGTGAAAGAAATGTTCTGTTTCACAACAAATGTTTGACTCTTTCATTTACATTTCCAATAAAAGTGCGTTATACTCTACTTTTTAATTCATTAATTGGTTTTGCATATAACACGTGATTAATTGTGATTAATTTTAATTGTTGCCCAGCCCTAGTTTAAAGTTTAAATGTTAAGTAGTTAAGTGGTGCAGAAGTAACGGTGCGATCGACTGACACGATACAGACAGGACAGAGGCTCTTTCTGCAGGAGACATGCGCAGTAGAGCCGAGGAACAGCAGCAGCAGATACTCCACACTTCACCAAAAACATTTAATACAGAAGTCACAGCGGAGAATAAGTCACAGGAAACACACAAACTATGAAAAAAAAAAAGTGCCACTTAGGCTGCGTTCAGTCTGCACCTGAAGTGACCCAAATCCTTTTTTTTTTTTTTTGGCGTCTATGTTCCTCTATCTGATCTTTTAATGACGTCTGAACCACACAGATCCGATTGTGACCCAGGACACTTGGATCTGTGCTCCTGAAACTGATCCATATCTGATCTTTAACATGTGACTTGAGTGTGAACAGTCAGGTCACATTCATCCACCTACACGTCATCAACAAGACACAAACGTCACTATTCTGCACTGAAGTAGAGAAAACTGTTCATGATCCATGTGACTGAAGTGAAGCACATCTCCACTCACCACAAAACACCACCACCAAAAACCTGCTCCTTCTCCTTCTCAATCTCCTCCTTAAAACAAGTCAGTTGTTCATGTTGTGGCTCCGGTACGAGAGGAACTTTAAAATCTCCAGGTGCTCGATGCTGCGTCCATGTTTGTTCAACTTGTGTAAACACAGAGACGCTCGCTGCGGTTGACGTCGTCGTGTCTCCAGTGTCACATGTGGGACACTTTTGGACCGTTTAATGTTCACACTGGAGTCACATACAAGTCACATTTAACTGGAAATGTGAACGAGCTCGAAAAAACATCGGATTTCACAAAAAAAAATCGGAATTGAGCGTTAAGCCCTGCAGTCTGAACGTAGACTTACAGTCCCAAAAATACGGTAATAACAGACTTTTCCACAGCCTCAGGTCGTTTCTCTTCACTCGTTTTGTTTAAAGTCGCTGTCGTCGGCTGAACAGAAATGACCAAAATATAATTTACACAAAAATTAATCGTTTTGGAAATAGACTTTTGGTTTTTCACATTCTGAGGGTTTGGACGACGTTCATTGGCCCGAAATAAAACTGAATATCTGAAGAACCAGAATGGCACAAATGAAACTTTATGCGTCGTTTGTGCGGCAAAAACTTGACTGACTGGGTTTTTGTGTCGTTTTTATTTCATTTTGTTCATTTTGTATCAGTTTCCTGGCGGCTGCCGATCCCAATTTGACCTGTAAAAGAATCGATAATATCTCCAAAACTAAAACGATGGATGTAGTTTTGCAAAGTTACGCAGTGCAGCCCTGTGTGTGTGTGTTTTTGTGTGTAAATCTGCTGTGATGTTTTATTTTTCGTCAACAGGATGCAGCTCTTCGGGGCTGATGTTGAGGCTCCTTTCTGAGCAGATCGGCTCTAAACGGGCGCCGTGTTTGTTTCGGAGGTTTGAGTTTGATCGAAGCCGTCGTGTTTTTTTGTTTTTTCTCCAGAGGTGCCGACGAGCGTGTTTGGAGATAAACTCCGCGAGCAGGTGGAGGAGAGACTGTCCTTCTACGAGACCGGAGACATGCCCCGGAAGAACGTGGATGTGATGAAGGAGGCTGTGCAGGAGGTGAGGACCAGCTTTTTGGTTTTAGTTTTTTACCGTATTTCCCGCACTATAGTTCACTCTGGATTATAAGGCCAACTGTCAGTGAATGGTTTATTTTCAAACTTTGTTCACATATAAACGATAACCTCAGACTATAAGCAGCATTAAACAAAACACAACAGTTGGATACGTCAGTCAAACTTTAACACGTTTACAATAACTCAATTTTGTTCAATTGTAACGTGTAAAAAAAGCTGGTCCACATCCCTCGTCCTGATCCAAGTCTGTGTTACTGTTCCCTGGAGTTCAGTTCAGTCCGTGTGTCGTTCGTTTGTTTTTCAATATAAAACCAAAAATCAGAAAAGGAGAAAACAACGTTTTTCTTCGTTATTTGTCTCCAAAACCAAAATGAAAAAGCGGAAAATGATCACAGATGGATTTTGTGTTTAAATGAAGAATGGAAAAAACGGATAACGACCGTTTCCCGTTTACGTGACTTCAGGGACTGAGATGTCGGACTTTTGCACCGAATACAGACCGAGACCGGGACTGACCCTGGACTTTTGTGCTGCCCAGATCCGGGGCCCAGATCCGGGGCCCAGATCCGGGGCCCTCAGCAGCCGCCTCTGTCTTTAACGTAAAGAATCCTCCACGTGTGGAGATACAAACGCTGCAGATTGTGTTGGAGGTTTTGAGACTTTGAGTGAACCGGTGTCTGTGCGAGTGCCGTGAGTGATGAGCTCCTCTTCCTGACTCTCTGTGGAGGCACAAACTGATTTAATGAGCCTGACACGGCCGCGGTTCCACACCTGAGAAACTGAAGTTAAACGGTTTAAATGTTTAAATGTTGAACCTGACCCTGTTCTAACGTGGTGTGGTGTGGGCTCCCCCTGCAGGCCGGAGAGGTGGCTGCGGAAATCAAACGCAAACTGGAGAAAAAGGAAAAGAAGCGAAAGAAGAAAGAAAAGAAACTCCAGGAACTTCAAGAGAACGGCACAAACGGAGAAGCAGAGGTGAGAAAGACGAGGGGAGGAGGATGAACATGAGCTGATCTTAAACGGACCTTTTTCAAAACGGTCGGGAGTGTGTCCTGCTGTAGGTTTGTGCGACGTCCCGTCAATGTTTTTCTGTGTAAATGTTTGTTCAGCCGAGCTCCACGCTCAGTTCGACACAGAAAAACATTAAGTGGAAGTTGTGCGAACCCACAGCGGGACACTTCAGCCGGTGTGGAAAAGGTTTAGTTCGTTTAGTAAATCTCGTCCTTCTCAAAATAAACGAGTTACACAGAGGGAGGAGACGAGAGGCATGTGGGAAGTTCATGGAGCGTTTGGAAGTGTTTTTAGTGTGTTTTTAGTATGTTTGGGAGTGTGTTTTGGGGCATGTTTGGGCATATATTTAGTGTTTGGATTGTGTTTTTAGTATGTTTGGAGTATGTTTTTAGTATGTTTGGAGTGTTTTTATGTTTAAAGTTGTTTTTAGTGTGTTTGGGGGCATGTGTTTGGAGCGTGTGTTTAGTGTGTTTGGAGCGTGTTTTTAGTATGTTTGGGAGTGTGTGTTTAGTGTGTTTGGAGCGTGTTTTTAGTATGTTTGGAGTGTTTTTAGTACGTTTGGAGCGTGTTTTTAGTGTGTTTTAGTATGTTTGGAGCGTGTTTTTAGTGTGTTTGGAGCGTGTTTTTTAGTGTGTTGTGTTTTTAGTATGTTTGGAGCGTGTTTCTAGTATGTTAGGAGTGTTTTTAGTACGTTTGGAGCGTGTTTTTAGTGTGTTTTTAGTGTGTTTGGAGCGTGTTTTTAGTTGTTTGGAGCGTGTTTTTAGTGTGTTTTTAGTGTGTTTGGCAGCGTGTTTTTAGTGTGTTTGGAGCGTGTTTTTAGTGTGTTTGGAGCGTGTGTTTTAGTATGTTTGGAGTGTGTTTTTAGTGTTTTTGGAGCGTGTTTTTAGTATGTTTGGAGCGTGTTTTTGTAGCATGTTGAGATTCTATAGACGGTCCTCCTCGTGGTCCAGTCTGTGTGAAACATGCAAAAGCAAAGAGCCCCTGAACCATTGTCCGGTCCCGTCCGTGGACTCGGTCACTGAAGAGGGTCTCACACTGACGCCTGTCGAATCATCAAACGTGCACTTTTGTCTCTTTCGTGTTCTAACGCTCGTCTGTACGTGGCCCCGCCCACAAGAAACGTGACACAAAACTGTACACGGCGACGGACAGGAGTTTCATTAGAGCAGCGTTTATTTTCTGACTCGTTTTTGCTAAAAAACAAGCGTCTTATCGTTGTGATCTGGGTGTGACGCCTCCGTTTATTTGGCTTCTGTCTGCTTGGACACGGTGAACACTGCGGCCTTTCCTCGTTTCCCACCGTAGTCACAGGGAAGCCGAGAGCTATGTACGCTTCATCGTATTTCCATCATATTTACCTCTTAGGCTTCGTCGTATTTGTCGAACTTCCCTCCTACGCGTCGTCGTGTTTGTCTCCTACGCGTCGTCGTGTTTGTCTCCTACGCGTCGTCGTGTTGTCTCCTACGCGTCGTCCCTACGCGTCGTCGTGTTTGTCTCCTACGCGTCGTCGTGTTTGTCTCCTACGCGTCGTCGTGTTTGTCTCCTACGCGTCGTCGTACTTCGCTCCTACGCGTCGTCGTGTTTGCCTCCTACGCGTCGTCGTGTTTGCCTCCTACGCGTCGTCGTGTTTGTCTCCTACGCGTCGTCGTGTTTGTCTCCTACGCGTCGTCGTGTTTGTCTCCTACGCGTCGTCGTGTTTGCCTCCTACGCGTCGTCGTACTTCGCTCCTACGCGTCGTCGTGTTTGCCTCCTACGCGTCGTCGTACTTCGCTCCTACGCGTCGTCGTACTTCGCTCCTACGCGTCGTCGTACTTCGCTCCTACGCGTCGTCGTACTTCCTCCTACGCGTCGTCGTCGTACGTCGTCGCCTCCTACGCGTCGTCGTACTTTGCCTCCTACGCGTCGTCGTATTTGCTCCTACGCGTCGTCGTACTTCGCTCCTACGCGTCGTCGTGTTTGCCTCCTACGCGTCGTCGTGTTTGTCTCCTACGCGTCGTCGTACTTCGCTCCTCCGCGTCGTCGTACTTCGCTCCTACGCGTCGTCGTCTCCTACGCGTCGTCGTGTTTGCTCCTACGCGTCGTCGTCCTACGCGTCGTCGTTTTGCCTCCTACGCGTCGTCGTGTTTTCCCTCCTACGCGTCGTCGTACTTCGCCTCCTACGCGTCGTCGTGTTTCGCTCCTACGCGTCGTCGTCGTTTGCTCCTACGCGTCGTCGTGTTTGTCCTCCTACGTCGTCGTGTTTGCCTCCTACGCGTCGTCGTGTTTGCCTCCTACGCGTCGTCGTGTTTTGCCTCCTACGCGTCGTCGTACTTCGCTCCTACGCGTCGTCGTACTTCGCTCCTACGCGTCGTCGTACTTTCGCTCCTACGCGTCGTCGTACTTCCCTCCTACGCGTCGTCGTGTTTGCCTCCTACGTGTCGTCGTACTTCGCTCCTACGCGTCGTCGTATTTGCCTCCTACGCGTCGTCGTGTTTGCCTCCTACGCGTCGTCGTACTTCGCTCCTACGCGTCGTCGTGTTTGCCTCCTACGCGTCGTCGTGTTTGCGCTCCTACGCGTCGTCGTGTTTGCCTCCTACGCGTCGTCGTCGTCGCTCTCCTACGCGTCGTCGTTTTCTCCTACGCGTCGTCGTGTTTGCTCCTACGCGTCGTCGTTTCCTACGCGTCGTCGTCTCCTACGCGTTCGTCGTACTTCGCTCCTACGCGTCGTCGTACTTCGCTCCTACGCGTCGTCGTACTTCGCTCCTACGCGTCGTCGTACTTCGCTCCTACGCGTCGTCGTACTTCGCTCCTACGCGTCGTCGTACTTCGCTCCTTTTTCCTCCTACATATTTCCGCTTTCGTCTTGTGCTTTGTCTTATTGTCGTATCCTAAACCTAAATGTGCTGTTAGAGTGAAAACTTCAGAGAATTCAAATATTCACTTTTTTTTTCCTCTCAGCATGAGAATGGAGAGACTGAGCCTGAGGTGAAGAAGAAAAAGAAGAAAAAGCCTAAACCTGATGCCCCGCAGGAGGAGGAGGAGGAGGAGGAAGCGGCGGCGGCGGCGGAGGCGGAGGAGGAGGAGAACGGAGCAGCCCAAGAAACTCCAGCCAAAAAGAAAAAGAAACGCAAGTCTGAGGCGCAGGAGGGCGGCGGCGGCGAGCAGGAGCCCGAGGAGCCGAGCGCCGAGACGCCGGCCAAGAAGAAGAAGAAGAAAAAGGAGGCGGAGTGAACGGGGGGCGGGGCCAGGAGAGGAAGGAGGCGGAGTAAAGACTCATTTTTATTTAGTTATTTTCTTAAACTCTGAAATGTGTTTTAGTTTAAACTCTGCTCGATGATGTGCCTTTATAAATGTTCCTGTAAATACGACATTAAAACAAAATGACACAAAGTCTGGTTTTTGTCAAGAGGAAGTGTCTCGGCCGCCGCCGCAGGAGGCGCGGTTTTAAAACGGCTCCGCTGAAAACACGGGCCAATCTCATTTCTTTCCTCGTGGCTTTCTTTCCTCCCTTATCCTCGCTCCCTTTTCTCCTCGCTCTTTTCTCCTCGCTCCCTCTTGCTGCGTCCTTCCCGTTTTTCAGCTGTTAATCAAATGCTCCAGATGAAGCGTTTTCCTAAAGCTCAGAGGGGACCTGAGGGGACCTGTGGGGGCCTGTGGGGACCTGTGGGGGCCTGTGGGGGCCTGTGGGGGCCTGTGGGGACCTGAGGGGACCTGTGGGGACCGGGTCGCCAACCGTCCCTTGAAAAACGTAATCGTCCTGTATTGAAACAAAAGTACGTGTCCCGTATTGATCTGAAAAGAGACGCACTTTGTCCCGTGTCACCAGGAGAATCAGAAATACTGTGTCATCAGTGGAACGGTGTTTTATAAGAACTTTTACAGTAAATGTGTTTTCAGTCTCTCCTGCTCAGACACATGAGCTGACAACACACACACCGATCATCAGAACATCCGTCGAGGTTGTTTGGCTCCGAGCTCCGGTTCTCCAGTCTTTTCTTCTTTCAGACGTCTCTGAGGCGTCCGGCGCATTTTTTGGGGGGGAGTCACTGATTTACTCAGACACCACTGGGGAAAAAACTGACTGGTCCATTTCTATTCCATTATAGAAACCGTCTCCAGGCAGAAGTTACAGATTTGCAGCAGCTAAATGCCAATGACCTACTTACTCCAAATCCATATTTTGAGCTTTTTTTAACGCAGGAGCCTTTTTTCCCGTCCATGCTGATAAACGTGGACGATGCAGTTTGTGCAAGAACGACTACACACGAACAACCTGCCAGAAGTGCAAAGTACTTTTGTTGTTTACAAAGGATAAAAATTGTTTCTTGGAGAATCACACGAAAAAGTGATGTTGTTGTGCCGCTGTAAAACTGTTACACTGAGCTTTATGTTTTCATTGTTATGAAAAGTGGTAAACACATAAAGTTATGTTCAAATCATTTTCAGTCTTCAGTGTTAATTTACCACCGGACCAAATCTGAAACATCCCAGACACACGACATGTGAAGGTCTCTCAAAAAAAGTCAGGATTGTAAATTACTGCCTCATATGATCATTTCCCCCAAATATCAGATTTTTTCCTGTTACTAAAATTTAATTTGAGCCTGAGAGGTTTAACCCTTTGTTTCCCAAGAAATATCAGTCCAAGTTTATAGTCGAGTTTGAGCTGACGTTGTTATTAAAAGCCCGTGTTGCTGCTGGGAAATATTCTGGTCGGAGGCAGAAACACGGTAGCGTCAAACACAGTGTGTAACCTCGAGTATTTCTCCTTGATAATGATAAATTCCTGCTGCATTATCGGACGCACAAATAGAAGCACAGGAAGAAGGAAAATGTCTTTTTCATATTCTGAGTGAAAAGAACCACTAACGGTGAATTAAACGACTTTCAAACATCCGCAGAGCAAACGTAGAAGATCCTAACAAACCGTGGACTCAACAAGTTCAACAACACATCCAGACTCTTGGAGGTTTTCATCTTTTCTGCTGTGAATGGCCCAGGAGTTTCCACCAAGTCATTGTGGATGTCGCCCAAGTGAATATTTGTCCAGGGAGTTGGAGATTCTGACCAGACGTTTGGTTTGGTCCAGACTCTGTCGGGGTTGAAAAGGGAGATTTGTCGTCCGTCGATGTTTATGACCAGTTTGTGGTCAAATGGTCTTGGGTCGTCTGCTGTTAGAGTGGATCAATAACCAGGATCAATACCCTTTACGTGCTTTCTCGCTCCGTCCTTCATGTTCAATTAGTGTTTCTTTGTCAACAATGAAACTGGCCTATAACAATGATCTAGAAATTATTACTAGTGTCGTGTTTATTATTCACTGAATAAAACATATTAGTTGTACAAAAATGGATTCAGTTTTTTTCTTGGGCCTTGACTGAAAAACTTGAAGATTCTGAGGGTTCAACTCTGTCACAAAACAGCGTGGACGACAGCCACAACGACAGGGCTTTACTGTGTTCTGTTGAAATGGGCTGCCCCGTCGAAATGAGCTACCTGCAGCCTAGCGTAGGTTTTCTGCCACAAATCTAACACACACACACGTTTACACGCTTCACAAAACACACGATAAAACCAATCCACTTTTAAAATGTGACTTGTCGCTCCACTTCTGCCTGGGAAGTTCAAATCGACGGCATTTACACCGGAACAGCACTCGGGCGCAGTAGTGCTAAAACGAGGGGTAGCTCAAACCGACAGGACACCGGCCCTGCCAATGAGGTGTCCCTTATTTATTTTTCAGGGAGTTGGCGACTCTGTGAGCGGAGGATTGAGGAGCAAACATCAGGAGGATTAAAAGTGTTTGTGTGACGGGGACAGAGGAGCTGTGACTCTGGAGCTAAAACTAAAGACGTTCAAACGCTCGTCTTAAAATAAAGACGTTTGTCAGAGTTTGATTTAAAAGTCCTGAAAAAATCTCAAATAATCCTTGGAGTCGTCAGAGGGTGAGTTTGGGAAGTGTTCATGTCCCACCGGAGGAGCTGGAGGAAGTGTCTGGGGAGATTTGATGTTACGTGTTGAACGTCCATGTTTGACTTGTCCAAAATAAAAGACACACAGACCCTTACACACACAGAGAGACCTGTACACACACAGACCCTTACACACACACACAGACCTGTACACACACAGACCCTTACACACACAGAGAGACCACACTGTACACA